GCCATCTACAAGCCAAGGAGAAAGGCCTACGAAGCAACCAACCCTGCTGACACCTTGATCTTGGACTTCTAGCCTCCAGAATGTGAAACAATAAATTTCTGTTGTTTAAGCCCCCAGTTTTTGGTACTTGGTTATAATAGCCAGAGCAAACTAATATCATAAGTGATAGGTACCCCTCAAATCCCAAAGTACAGGTGGGTAGGGTCAAATCAACAATGGCCAAGGCCTGCAGGACACTGGTGTCTGGCTGTACAAGAAGAGACAGAAGAAATAAATGGGGACATTTGATGGATCTGTGGAGAAGAGAGCGCCAAAATAGCTAATATGTAATCACCAGACAGAACAATGGCCCATTCTGAGAACACAAGCTAAAAGTGGGGCGAACTTTGCCTGAGCCAATAACCACATGTGGCTACCAAGTACTTGAGATGTGGCTAATCTGAACCAAAATGTGTGTAAGTGTAAAATAGTCAGTGTACTTCCAAGACCGAGCATGAAAAAAAAAAGACTGTAAAAGATCTCAATTTTTCTATATTGATTACATGTTGACACATTCTGGATAATAACGGATCGAATAATTTCACTTTCTTCTGTTTACATTTTTTTAATCCGGCTGCTGGAAAATTTTAAATCCCATTAAGTTGAGTTGATTAGTCAACGCTTCTCTAGATTGTGCAATTAAAATACCTGCTGCACTCTGGTGGCATTCTACCTCAAACACAAGTGCAATTTTTTTGAGTGGGAAGACATTTAAAATGAAAGCATACAGCACAAGCTTGTACAGAAGGTTTAGGGTATCATCCCTGAATAGCATGTGCCTTACTATCACCAGTTTGCAGAACTTGCCTCTAGGAAAGTATTAATTCTTTGAAGGAGGAGGAGAAGGAAGATGGAGGGGAGGAAAAAGAGAGGGAAGGGAGAGGAAGGAGAAGTGAGGAGAAAGGGGACAACGGAGCAACCTGTGAGTTTCTCAGATATCTTTTTCTATTTAGGGACCCGGGCTTCCTAAAAAGAGGCTTTTAAAGAAAGCACGGTAGACGATTTCTTCTTTAATTTGAAACACTGGGAGAATACTTAATAAAAATAATTTCTGTCATGATTTTTATGCAAGACCATTCCACTTCACTTTGGTGCACCTCTCAGTAAATATACACTTTCTTGGGCCCCTAGCGTATTTTGGCTTTGTGTATTTGCTCCTCTGGAGACAAATAATTAGTGACTTGGAGGCCTCTGCTGTTTCAAAGCACCAAAAGTCATGGCTATCTCTGGGAGACACAGCTGTGTATCTCAAATCCAGGTCTCAATGCTGCCTTATATAATCCCAGCAAGTATTCCATGCTGCTTCATCACCATGGTAACCAGAACCCTGCAAGCACTTGGGCTTTGATCATTTTCTGACGGTATTCAAAGCTTTTTCTAACACTTCATTACTAATGTAACTACATGTAAGAGCTACTAGAAGCCCAACACCACTCATTTTATCCATTTCTCACTCCCTGGACTATGCTTTCTTACACAGTGAGTGGAAAGATGAGCTTATTTATCATGCACATATTATCTGAAGGTATTTTCAGTCAAGAAAAATAACTCCATTAAGATATTCGCAGCTGGGAAATTGAAAAGGCTCTGACAACTTGGATGAACGGCTTAATAATATAAGGTGGAAAAATACACCTTCAAGAATAAAAAGGGAATTTATTATATCCAAATAAGGCATTACATGGAAACTCTGAAGCTTTCCATGCACTAAAATGCACTTTTTCATTCCGTTCAGAAAGTTAAAAAGTCCAGGCGGGAGGGAACACAAGGGGGCTGCTGAGGTGCTGTATTTCTATTTCTTTATCCAACTACAAGCCTCATGGATGTGTTTAGTCTGTAAAAAAACCAAATACGCCGATGTGTATTTTTCTGCAAGTATATTACACTGCAATAATAAGTTTAATAGCCAGTGTGTGAACTCAAGAAAGAAAAATACAAAGGAAAGCTAGCCAAAAGATAAGCAGGTGCAGTGACGGGAATGCTGGGACAGGAGGGCCAATGTTAAAAGCTGATGCTTTTCCAGCTGAATTCTCACTTTATCCCATTTCCTCAAGTTTCAAAGCTGGTCTAGAACCACGACCAATGTATTTCTTGTTCTCTGTAAGCACTGTGATCCTGTGATTCTATTCAGACCTACGCAAACATAAGGGATGGGGCAATCAAAAAAACTTTCTTTTCATTATTCCCAAAGAAATCACTATTTCAAAAGAAATGCATGAAAACTAACACTTGAAAATAGAAAGGTGTTTAAATTTGCATAACTCAGAGTGGTCATGGAAGGTTCGAGACATTTTCTGAAAATATCGAGAAAAAGAAGAAAGGTGAAAATCAAAAGAGAGTAGATGGTTACAGAGGATTTAGACTGAATGGTCATCTAAGCATTACAAGTACAAATAAGGAAGGAGGAACAAGGAAGAAAAAAATTAAAGAATTACAATAATAAATAGAAAAAGTATTTTCTGATTAAAAAATGCCTACTGTCTCATACACAAAAATTAACTCAAAATGGTTTACAGGGCCGGCTGAGTGGCTCAGCTGGTTAAGAGCTCGCTTAGGAGCACCAGCTCTGAGCAGCAGGGCCCCGGTTTGGATCCCACATTGGGGCCAGTGACTCTGCGCCCTCTACAGCTAAGATGGTGAACAACAGCTCAACCTGGAGCTGGGCTGCCATGAGTCACCGGCAACGGCGTAGGTTGCAGTGAGTCTGCGGTGGGTTGCCATAGGCTACCATGAGTGGCTGGTAGCCAGTGTGAGCGGCCAGCAGCCAGGAGCCTCCATGGGCAGCAGTCCAGTGGCCGGTGACCAATCTGCCTCACCTGGAAAGAGCAATGATAACACCAACATGGGCCAGTGAAACAACGTCCTCTATAACTAGACTGAAGAACAAAACGACAGCAACTTGTCTGTTCCCCGATTCCCCAATGCTGTTCCCTCCCCCCAACTCCCCAATAAAATCTTTAAAATAAAATGGTTTACAGATGTAAAGGGAATAGCTAAAACCAAAATACTCTTAGAAGTAAACACAGGAGTGAATCTTGGTGACCTCAGGTTAAGCACTGATTTCTTGGGTATGACACCAAAAGTACAAATGACGAAAGAAAAAAATGACAAGTTGGACTTTACTAAAATTAAAAGCTTCTGTGCTTCAAAGCACACCTTCAAGAAATGAATAGACAATCCAAACAATGAAATATATATTTGCAAATCATTACATCTTACAAGGGGCTTGTATTTAGAATACATAAAGAACAACTACAACTTAAAAACAACAACCAAAAACATAAATAACCCAATTTGAAAAATGGTCAAAGGATTAAACATTTCTCCAAAGAAGACAGAAAAATGGCCAATAAGCACATGAAAAGATGCTGAATGTCATTACTAATTCGAGAAATGCAAATCAAAACCACAATGAGAAACAACTTCACACCCACTAGGTCAGTTATCACCAAAAAGAAAGACAATAACAAGTGTTGGTAAGGATGTGGAAGAAACGGAACCCTCACACATGCATCCTCTTTGAAAAACAAAAACCATCTGAACTTCCTCAAAAAATTAAATACCGATCGCCATATGACCCACCAATTTCATTCCTAGGTATACATACTCAAGAGGACTGAAAACATATGTCCTTACAAAATCTCACATACCAATGTTCAAGGCAGTATTATTAACAACCAAAAAGTGCAAACTAACTCACATGTGGATGGTTGGATAAACAAAATGTGGTAAATCTGTACAATGGAATATTAATCTGTAATAAAAGGAATGAAATACTGATACATGTTGCTACATAGATGAACCTCAAAAATATACTGTATTTAGTGAAAGAAGCCAGTCACAAAAGGTCACATACTGTATGACTCCACTTATATGAAATGTCGTAATAGGTAAATCCAGAGAGTCGGAAAGTAGATTGGGGTTAGGGATTGGGGGGAATGGAGAGTCACTCCTAACGGGAATGAGGTTTCTCTTGTGGGCGGTGATTAAATGTTCTAAAATTAGATTGTGGCGATAGTTCTACAAATGTACTAAACCACATAATTGTAAACTTTGAATGGGTGAATTTTTATTGTATTTGAACGATAGATATATAAACAGGAGGGAAAGGAGGAGAAGAAGGGGTGAGAGTTACTCTAAACTATGATAATGTTTTACGAGTTGGGAATAAAGGAGTCTGGAGCCATGAACTGGACGTTACAGTCGAATTTTTCATGCAAACTTGGTTTCTGACTCTTTAACTCTACCACCCCTTAATTTTTTTGTTTGCCTTAATTTCAACAGGCACGTGGAGATATATCAGAAATCTGCCTAACAGATATGCCAAATCTAAGGCTGGCAGTGAGCAGAAAGGTGGCCTTGGGTTTGCATTTTCATAATTTCCTCACAGAATATTTGAGGGCAGGGGCTGTTCGTTTTATCTTTGGATTATCTGTACATAATACAGAATATGGCATACGCTGGGGGCCCAAGTAAATGCTGAATAAATAAGACATACCTGGATAAGAATGGGGGAAAAAGAAAAAAAAGTCTAAGTACGCAATTTAGAACACTTACAACATTCTAGGGGGAAAAAAATACCTAAAACCTGGGAATATTGGGGTCATTTCTGGAATTGTAATGGTTGAAAGAAAATAATTCTTTAAAAAGGTGCAATTAAGCTATAAAGCACAAGAAAAAGCTCATCTCAAAGATCTCTTCAGTCGCACAAAACAGGAAGCAGCAGAGTGAAGGGCTAAGGACACTGTCCTGGGAATTCTTCATTTAAACAAAGGCGCAAGACCCTGGCTTAGGTGCCAGGGAAATGGTGACAAACAGGGTTCTGCTCTCAGAGACGTTGCATTTTAATAAAGGAGGACATCCTAGGCTAATAAATAACCTCCAGAAACTTACCACACATCAGCCACGGGGAAAAATATACAAAACTATTGACAAGCATAAGGCATCAAGACTCCACTAACCTTAACCCATTGAACAGCTGCTTAGATTTATCCAGAAGGTAACAAAAATCTGTAACTGTTTTCCTCTCTCCCTGTGGGATGTCATCTTCAGCACCTCCAGAGGACATGATTTCTTTAAGAGCAAATTCAGTCCTGTAAGAAAACATGTGTCCATTTACCAAGTAGATGAAAATAAAAGGAGAAACAGACCTTAGTTATACCATCTGATAGCAATTTTTTCCAAGACAGAGAATGCTTCTGATTACAATCAAATCATCAAAATAAGTGTAAGATGGTGTGGGAGAACAGACAATCTCATATTGTCGGTGGGAGTGAAAATTAGTACATCCATATTGAAAACTAATTTTTAGAATATTCTTTCATCCAATAAATATCACTTGAATACCTATTATGTTCCAGACATTCCTTTATATGAATAAGAATAAAAAATGTTGAATCTTTTCACCTATTTATCTATTTAATCCATTCTATAAATCCATCTTGGGAAATGATGCTACAAATGGAAAACATCCATAAGGATATTTATTTCGGTATCATAATATTTAAAAACTGATAACCTAAAAGAACCAAAGAGCAAAATGGTTAAGTACATTTCATTCATAGAATACTGAAGACTGCACTCTACCCTATCACTAACTTACAGTTATATTTAAGATGATAAGGCGGGATGACCAATTAGCTCAGTTGGTTAGAGCATGGTGCTGATAACACCAAGGCTGCCGGTTCGATCCCCGCATGGGCCACTGTGAACTGCACCCTCCCTAAAAGAATCAACTATGCCACTGTAGCTTGAAAGCAATGTGTAACCAATGACCATGGCTGTTCCCCCAAAAAAAAAAAAAATTAAAAAAAAAAAAAGATAATGAAATATAAGGATACCTCAGTATAAAGAGATATAAAAATCGCACACCCCCACACACACCACAGAGGTATGTTTTAAAGCTATATTTCATTGAATCCAAACTCTTTTCATATGTAATCAATCATATCAATCAGTCATTTTAAAAAGAACAAGTTGCCAGGCAGTATATATAGTAAGAACCTATACTAAACACACACACACAAAATTCATTTGTGTTTACACACAGACAGACATCCCTAGAACAACACGGGAATCTGGTCCCAGTATAAGGAGAATACATAGGCAGAGCAGACAAGGACCACACACCAGAGGTGGGTGTTAGGGTGTGGTGCAGTTGTTTTGCTAAAAGTTTCCTTTCCCATGTTGTCTTGAATAGGCGATTGTGGTTGCAAGGCAGGGAAACGGTCAGCAAGCCTAGATAGAACTCTGACGGGGCTGCAGGGTACCAGATGGGTGGCACTGGTGCCAGCTGGTGGGGAAGTTGTTTACAACATGAACGGATGCACTGGGTGGTCCCCCTGCATGCCCACATGTTCCCTCTTTCCACAATCTATGGACTAGGATTTTGAAGAGAGGGAAACAGATCTTGAAAAGCGCTGAGCCCGGGAGGGGGTTTCACACTGTAACGACCCTGGGTACGTGCTCTCCCTCTACCCAACCCCAACCTTCATTCTCTAAACCCAGGAGGAGAGGCACAAAGTAGGTACAAACCAGACTGCAGCTTTCTCCATCCCACTTCATGTACCTCATGAGCCAAGATGGCTAATAGCCCCAGGACACAGGAGCTCATAAGAACAAAAAAATGAAAGTTTAAAAAAAGATTCAATAAGGAAGGATATTAGAAAAATAAAGCAGGAAGAAAATGTTAGCAGGAAGCAAACAAAAATACTGGGTATGAAAATATAACCACTGAAATAAACTTAGTAGATGGATTGAAGAAGAGAAAGGATATAGCTGAATAAATTAATAAGCTAAAATATCAGGTTTAAGGTTACTCTGCCAAAGAACATCAGGAAAAAATAAAGTACGTAAAAGAAAAATCAAGAGATATGGAATAGGGAAATGAAGGATGTCAAATCCATCCCCACAATGTTATATATATATAGGAGAGAAAAAACACACGGCGGTAATGAAATATTTGCAGACATAAACTTCTGTACATGTCCCAGAATTAGAAAAAATACAAGACCTTAACTAAAAGGGCCCAAAGAATTTAAAAAAAAAAAAAAAAGGAAGAAATAATCCTATAGCTAGAAACATTAAAGTGAAACTTAAGAATTCCTTAGAAACCCTCTCTCTCCCTATCCTGAACAATCCAGTGCTAGGGCCATTAGGTGGGGCAGAGCACAGCTGGTGTCCACACAGAGGGCAGCCTGCATGGGTATCAGGGTCCAACTGTGAGGAGACCAATCACATCCGCACAAAGGGCCAGTGTGCATGGGATGGTAGAGCTGGACTGAGCAGCGGAGGGCATCCATGAGGGGGAGAACTGGCAGGGGGCATGAGAGCCCCAGCAGGGTGAGGAAGGCATCTCCACCTGGCAGGGTTCTGAGGCAGCCACAGGAGATTTGTCATATGTAGGAGGATTCATCAAATAAGAAAATCTATTAAGGACAATCAGAACCAGAATTCTCTCTGTAAAAGAAAGGAGACACAAATTTGAAAAGGGAAAATGTTAGACTGAACCCTGTGGATTGAAACCAGAGGCACTGGTGAACTAAGGGATTTTTAAAAATATACATTAGATCTGTGGGGTGTGTATGTGTGTGTATACTTAAACACACACACATACATGCTCCCTAGCTCTGTAAATCTGTCTACAGAGAGGGCCTTGAAGAACTGACCACCCTCACTCCCCAATGGTATGAACATTCTAGCACCCAAATCTTGGTTTTTAATACTATTCTCCAATAAAGTGTGCCAGAGAGCTGTAACTGGATAATTAGAGCACTGGGGCAGGAAAAGTACAAGATGAATCTGGTATATCCTGTGCCAGAGAGCAAGAAAGTGCTCAAAGATGATAAAGATATGTCAGAAGGACATCAGACCTAAACGTCCATCAATGATGGATGAATGATAAAGAAAATGTTATATATATATATATATAAATGGTGGCCAAAGGGTACCAACTTCCGATTAAAAGGTAGATAAGTTTTGGGATGTAATGTACAGCATGGTGACTATATACACACACACACACGCGCACACACACACACACACACACACACACACACACACACACACACACTGGAATATTATTTAGCCATAAAAAGGGGAAATCCTGTCATCTACAACAACATGGATGGACCTAGAGACCATTATGCTGAGTGAAATAACTCAGAGAAAGACAAATACCATATGATCTCACTTATACGTGGAATCTATTATAAAAAACAAACAAACAGAACTCAGAACAGAGAACAGATTGATGGCTGCTGGAGGTGGAGGATAGGGGATGGTAGAAAAAGGGGGAAGATGGCCAAAGGGTACCAACTTCCGGTTAAAAGGTACATAAGTTTTGGGATGTAATGTACAGCATGGTGACTATACTTAACAATACTGTATTGCATATTTGAAAGTTGCTAAGGAAGTAATCTTAAAAGCTCTCATCACAAGAAAAAAAAACTGGTAACTATGAGTATATTAGGTGATAAATGTTAACTAAATTATTATGGTATTCATTTCACAATATATACATACATCAAATCATTGTACACCTTAAACAAATACAATGTTATATGGCAATGATATCTCAATAAAACTGGAATAAAATAAAATAAAAATAAATCATCAAAAAAGGAGGGAAGGCATAGGTTCCAGAGCTACCACTGGTCAAATTGGGGATAATTTCAGCATAGAAACAAATAATGACAGTAACCGATTATCACCTACTGAATAAAATAAGAAACCATGAAGCAACACTGATATAAATAAATAAGTGAATAAATGGAAAGTTTGATTGGGAATGTGATAGTTTCAGAGTACTTCCCCACAAAATACACATTAATTCCAAAAGGCAAAAGTAAGTTCACAGCCGTGACACCTGGCAAACGCCACCTTAATCAGTGATCAAAGTGAACATCGCTAGTCATCAGGCAAATCAAAGTCCTGAGCCACCTGACGGGATGCGATGAGAAGCGATGTTCCTGTCAAAGACCCTAACTGGAATCTAATCATGAGGAAACAGACAAAACCAAATTGGGAGGTCAATGTCAAGGCTGACTTGATTACATTTCTATTGAACAAATACTCGTACAAAGTTATCACTACTTACAGATGATATGAACCCTCTTATGGAACTCTCAAAAAAAACTACAGAAAAATTATTAGAATTAACCAGTGAGTTGAACAAAGTTGTTGGATATAAGGTGAATATAAAAAGGCCAACCATATTTCTATATCCCCAAGAATGAATAATGAGAAACTGAAACTTTAAAAAATTGTATGGTATACAGTAGCACCAAATAATATCAAGTAGGTAGGAATAAACATAGTGCATATGTACAAGATCGCATCAGAAAAAAAAAATTGTAAAACTCTGAGAGATAAATTAAAGACGACTTACAGAAAATTAAGACTATGCCATGTTTTTTTACTGGAAGCCTCAAAATTATAAAGACATCAATTCTCTCCAAATTGGTCTACAGGTGCAATGGATTCAGTGCAATAGCAATCAAAACCTCAATAGATTTGTGGAAGTCAACCAGTTGATTCTATAATTTCTATGGAAATGCAAAGAGCTGACAGCAGCTAAAATAATCTCAAAGAATAAGATGGGAGAATTTATTCAACTGGATGTAAAGTTCCAGGAGGGAAGAACGTGGTATCGGCGCAAGAAGAGAAAAACAGACCAATAGAACAGAATACAGAGCTGGAAAACAACCCACATGTACATGAACATTTGATTTGTGACAAAAGTGACACTGTATAGCAATGAGGAAAAATGGTTTTATCTAAAAGAAAAAAAGGTAAAAAAAGAAGAGCCAGTGCTGGGTCAACTGGACCTGGGTATCTAAATTAAAAGAAAAACCATGAACCTTCATTCCTACCTAACTATACACAAATTCTAGGTAGACTGTGGATGTAAAGGTAAAAGGTAAAATAAAATAGTTCTTAGATGATAATATACGAGACCATCTTCATGACCCTGGAGTAAAACAAGATTTCTTAAACAGGTCACCAAAAACACTCATCATGAAGGAAAAATTGGACCATTTAAAAAACTAAGTATTGTGTTCATTAAAAGACACCATTAAAAAAGGGAAAAGACAGGGCCGGCCGAGTGGCGCGTTGGTTAAGAGCTGGCTTTGGACGCCAGAGGGCCCCGGTTCGGATCCCACATATGAGGGCCAGTGACACTGCCCTCTACAGCTAAGATGCTGAACAACAGCTCAACCTGGAGATGGGGCTGCCGTGAGTCGCTTGCCGTGAGTCGCTTGCCGTGAGTCGCTTGCCGTGAGACGCTTGCCGTGAGTCGCTGGCGAAAGCGTAGGCTGCAGCCCCTGTGGCAGTGGGTTGCCATGGGCTACCGTGTGTAGCCAGCAGCCGCAGTGAGCGGCCGTCCAGAAGCCGGCGACTGATCTGTCTCGCCTGGGAAGAGCGCAATGATGGTGCCAACTTGGGCCAGTGAAGCAATGTCCTCCACAACTAGACTGAAGAACAAAAGGACAGCAACTTGTCTGTTCCCCTTCCCCCAATTCCCCAGCACTGTTCCCCTCCCCCAATTCCCCAATAAAAATCTTTAAAAAAAAAGGGAAAAGACAAGCCATAGAGTAAAAGAAGATATTTGCAATATACATATTTGACAAAGAACTCATAATCAAAATAAATGAAGCACGCCAATCAGGCAGTAAGAAAAAAAACAATAAAAAGATCCAGTAAAAAGGGAGAGGGGGATAAGGCCAAAAGGAAATAGCCAAACAAAAGGCTGCTGACCCTCATAAGTCACCACAGAAATGCAAATTAAAGCCAAAGTGAGATACTACTATACAGTGTCTCAAATATTAAAAAAACAAAAACAAACCTGACAATCCCTAGTGTGGGAAGAATGTATAGCAACAGGAACCACTAGAAAACTATTTAGGAGTATCTGCTAAAACGGAACCTTTGACTCTGGAGGGAGGGAGGGAGGGAGGAAGAAGGAGGAAAAAACACCAGACCCAGATGGTTTTACAAGTAAGTTTTAAACCAAACATTTAAGACACATTAACATTGAATATACTCTCCTCCCAACGTTCATTTTAATAAAGCTAACATAGCCTTGACACCAAAACCATATAAGGGCAACACAAAAAAAGCAAAATTATAAGCCGAATTCCATATTACATGAACAGCTGTTATGGCCTCAAATATGTGTAATATTAATAGATCATAGATAATTGAAATTTTAACATAATAGCAAACACAATCTCACCAGTTTACTAAAAAATAAATGGTAAACTCAGACTTATGAATGAAATACATAAGTGTATGTACGTATCAACATCGATTATGTAGGGGAAATACACATGGAAATCTATAAACAAGGTCAGTTCTACAGACATTTATGGGAAACATGTATGTAAATACACCACATCAGTAAGAATAAAAGGAGAGACAAAGAGAAGGACATATATTGTTGTGGGTTGAATTGTGTCCCCCCAAAAGATATGCTGAAGTCCTAACTCCTTGTACCTGTGAATGTGACCTTATTTGGAAATCGGGTGTTTGCAGATGTAATTAAGATGTGAGTTAACATGAGGTCATACCGGAATACAGTGAGTCCTTAATCCTACATGACCGGTGTCC